GCACCTGGCAGGGCCTCTGTGCCCACCTGGAGCAGGGGCCCCGCCCGGGGTCCCGAGGGTGAGCCGGGCCTGGCGCGGCCTCCCCATCGCAGCCTCCTCCACGCACTCAGCCGCCTTCTGCCCGCTGCAAAGCCTGCCCTCGCCTGGTGCCCTCGCCAGGTGCCCTCGCCAGGTGCCCTCGCCAGGTGCCCTCGCCAGGTGCCCTCGCCGGGTGTCCGCGAGCTTCAGACCTGAGCTAAGTAAACGCTTCAAAGAAGTCGGCTCCCTTGTCTTTCTGGGCCCGGTGGGTGTGCGGGAGGGGCAGTGCCAGGAGGGTAAGCGCCGGCTCTGTCCACCCACTGCATCGGCTTCTGCCGCTCATGCTGACCACTGCTGGCCTTGGGCAACACCACAGCCAAGTGAGGAAACAGCAGGGCACCCTGGGGAGGGAGCGGTGTCCCCGATAAGCCGCCCTGGGCAGTGATCAGGATCCCCCCCGAAATGATGGCTCCTGGCCCTCCGGGACCACCCATCCAGGTGGAGAGCTACTAACAGGAAGGAGCCGAGGTCAGAGGTGGCTCGTGGGGACCCCGGGGCCACAGGCCAGAAGCTGGACCTGGAAGCCACCGGAGACGTACCCCGGGAGGACGCCTTCCCCTGATGCCCACTGAGGGAGACGGGGACTGGATCCAGCAGGGGATGTGGGGGTCAGCAGCAGGGCCAGCTAGGAGGCCGCTGTGGTCATCAAGGCCCAGACCAGGGGGGTACAGGGAGCTACCGAGAAGGTCGTCTGAACCCGAACCCACTCAGTCCAGAGAGCACCCCAGGAAGTGGGGGTGGGAGCTGGGCTCTGGGCCTGTGAGGTTGGAAGAGCTACTGCACCCCTTAGAAAAGGTGTTGGGGTAGCCGGAAGGGCCTGATGGGCCAAGACAACCCCCACCCCCAGCAAGAGCGAGGGACTAATTCTCATATCAGTGAAGGTGCTCTGGGCAGACTAGCCCGCTCTCCCAAAGTCTCTGACCGTCCTCCCAACTCCCGTGGTGGCACGGAGACCATCTCCTCCCAGGAGACCCATTTAGCTCCCACCCCGCGGGAGCCCTCATCCCACCTCCTGCTCCCTCCTGATCCCGTGGAGCCCAGCCCCACCCTCGTCACCCACACCCTGGACCCGTCTTCAGACCCCCGGCACTCATGTGCCAAAGCCCTGAGCTCTCCAGGGAGGCTGCAGGGACCCATGACTGCCCGGTTGGCCCTGAGGACACAGGCTCTGAGTGGGTGAAGAAACGCTGCCCCGAAGCAAAAACGGCACCTTAATGCTCGGTGCGGCCGGCCCACCAGGCGGGGTTCAGCACCCCAGCCCAGAGATGCCAGAACAACTCTTCACGTCCATCCTTCAGCATGCCGGGGGCAGCAGACGCCTCCCAGGGCCTCAGAAGCCCGGCACCCTCACCTCGAGCACACCTCCTTGTCACACTGTGGAGGCCGGCCACACACCCCGATGTCAAGAGCCCTGGGCCCACCCACTAGCAGTCAGTGACCCAAGTAGAGGAGGGGAAAAAATGGACCCTCCCCTCCGTTCAGGCCACAGGTCAGCCACCAGGACCACCCTACAGTCACCTGGGACAAACCTAGCCCTCCAGAGACTGCGGGGATGGGTAGCTGCCCCGCCTGCAGCCCCTGGGGAGGGCCCTGCTGTGCCTGCCCAGCCAGCCCCCCTGAATCTGGCCCTCACTGGTCTCAGCCTGCTTCCCCTCTGCAAAGTGGGGTGACACTGACATCCTAGGGTGACCTGAAGGTGAAGGTCCAGCTCAGCCCCTGACCATGGCAAGCGCTTCACCCAGGGGAGTCGGGTGGGGGAGAAGGGGTGGTTCTTAGCAGGCAGTGCCTGCCCCAGCTGGAGCTCCCCCGGGGCCGCTTACTGGGAAAGACCTCCGCAGAGAGGTCCAGGGCCTGCAGGATGCGCTTCCGGGGGATATAGCCTCCTGGGGACACCTGGACAAAGTGTAGGAGCACTGTCACCACCGGCAGCCACGGGGGCTGGTCAGGGTGCCGGTGTGCGAGGAAGATGGAGGCAGCCTGGTCGGCCACGACCCCACCTGCTTACCGAGATGAGGGTGGTTCTGCTACACCCCCACCCACGGCAGCAAGGCCTTCCCACCTGAGGATGCGGCCCTGGCGCCCCGTGTGACCTGGCATTGGCCCCTGACATCCCTCAGCCCCCGGCCAGCTTTTTTCTTTTTTTTCCTTTAACAATGATTT